TTTTTAAGCAGTTTTTTATCAGATTTTAATCCGGAAATTTGTTAACAAAATCCGTGATTTTCCGGAACTAAAAAACCAGATTTTTTCCTGATTTTTGTTTTTTATTTTTTTTTACAGGGACTATCACAGCTCTCTTTCACTCTTAGCGATGAGAGATATGACCAATGCTGATGGTCTAAAATCCAGTGAGACAGAAATCACCGTTGCGAAGAATGAAAAAATGGCGAAACAACGTTTTTCCAAGAGAAACGTGAAGTCCCAGAAATTGCCACACCCACACACCAAAATAATATAGAATATGACAGTAGCAACACTTATCAACATAAAAAAGGCAAAGGAAAAGTAATAGACTCGCCAAATTCACCTGGAGGCTTGCAAATTCCAAGAAAACAATGGTGAAACTGCAACACTTTGCTGAATGAAATGCATGAAGTGCAAGTGCACTTTCCCTACAAAAAATGGAATAAAAACAAGGATAGAAGTGGCTGTTCACTCAAGAACAATAGAATAAAAGCCAATATAGAAAATGCACAGCTCTTACAACAAAGAATTGGCAACAATATAGAAGAAAGTAGAAAAAGAGAAAATGAATTCTACCTGACCAATCAAAATATAAATTCCTGGCATGTTGGTGACATCACGCAGATTGTGCAACTGAATACAATTGCATGACAGCTTGACATGGTCACCAGCCCACTGTATGGTGGCTTAGAGATCATGAGGCCACAAAAATTTGGTCTCACAAGGAAATTTGTAGATCTGAATTACTTGTACAAAATTAGCCTCTTAAAAATTTCCTTTTTAGATAATTTTTAATGTTAAGTGAAATATTAAAGATTTCTTTTTCTCTTTTGCTCTAGAATTCTTTTGCTGAAAAAATCTTTTTTTAATTTTTATATATATATCCTCTTTAAAAATTGTAGCTAGCAAGCAAGACAAGAACAATTACAAGCAAGCAATAAATAAAAAAAATAATAATAATAATAACAACAAAAATAATAACAATTACTTTAATTTTTTTATTACACTCATTTAATACCCATAAATTATCCAACATGTTATAACTTTACATATCCCTTACTGATGAACAAATCCCAGAAGAGATCTTACAACTAGCTGGTAACCTGTTCACCAAAATCTCATATCTTTATCCTGGCTTGAAAGTTGAGATAGATGAGAATGGATACAACTTCTCAATCAAAGTAGACATGGATATTCTTTCACAATGTCTAGCAGAAGTTGAAGCCATACCAGAATCTAGTGAAATTCCTGGAGACAATCTTATGCCTCTGGAAAAATCAATAATTGATAAATTGAAGGAAGCTAGAGATGGAAGAAGATCAGAAGCTTCACAAATTCGTCTGTCAGAAGAAGCATCATTATCAGCTTATTATGATAACTTAGCTAATAACAAGTATACTACCGTTTCAGTAATGTTTGAGATTGGAAGGATTATTTCCTTGATGACCCTTGGCAAATCTCAGAGAACCCAGAATTCAGAGATGCAAAGACTATTTAAAAAGAATGTTTCCACAATCAACTTCAAACCAAGAGGATTAATGGCAATAAGACTTTATCAATACTTTCAAGATAATAAACAGTTGTTACAATATGATAGAGTAGACAAAATATTCAAACCTGGCAATGTTGGAAAAATAGACCAAAAAACAAGTGATAACTTAAAAAGAAAAATATATAATGAATTTATTAGATAATTTTT